GCTATTTTCAATTGATGATGACATTTTGAAAAAATGTATATATCATGTGAAATTTTTTTTAAATATTTATGTTACACACGGACTTATAGGGACTTTAAGTCCCAAATAGTAGGACCGAACCTGAAACAGTTCAGTCCCGGACTTTTTGGGACCCAGTCCCAAAGGACTGATTAACATCCCTATATAAAATTTTTGTCGATCCAATTGATATGGGATATAATCGAAGTTCTAACTTATATAAATTTCTATTTTTAGTAACCATAAGCGTCATATTCGATTTTGTCACCATGCTTATCCAAATAAATAAAAATTTTTTTTTCCTTTTCCCTCTTTAATAATAATCGTCAAAGTTTTTCGAAAATAGTGAATTGGTTATTTTTAAATTAATCATATGACAATAACGGAAAACAAGAAAAATGTGAAACGAAGTTGGGTAAAATTGAAATATCTTTTTCATGAGATTTTGCCTTACAGTTCTCACAACATTTAATAATTAATATAATTAATTATAAGAAAAAAAATTTTTCATCTAATAATAATAATAATCTATTAAATCAATCCGCTGAGAACTTATAATCTATGTAAATCTCAATATTAAATTAGTGTATGTTGTTAATAAATCAACCATTGTAATTAATAATAATAATAACTTTATAGATTTACGTAAATTTCAATAATCTACTTTTGTAAACAGCATCTGGATGCTGTAATTGTTGAAGGATCAAATAAAATCATATCTACTCTTTTCTAATTAAGTAATTTTAACATCAACATCTTCTTTAAAATGGTTTATCTCAAATTATGTACTTTTAATCAATTCATCAATTGTTTCATTACCACTTGTCCATTCTTTAGTTAACACCTATGGGTCGCATGTTTGACACTTGGTATTATATCTGTCATAATTTGAACATGTACCATACTCTGAATATTTATCATCATTTGTATATTATTATTAACTTATATCAATATAATTCATCAAAATGGAGTCTCCAAAGATTTATACTTTTATAGCTCACAACTTCTTATTGAATATTTGGCTGGGAAAATTAAATACTATATGATTTTAATAGTGAGAATATTATGATAGAGACTTGAACCCAATCAAAAATATAATGAATAGATTCCCAGTAGTTTAACAGGGGATATGATATCTTAATAAAAACTTATAATAATTAGTAATTATATATATTTGCAAAAAAAATAAAAACGATTTATAAGAAAATATTCCTGGAGACTAGAAATTTGGCTATGCCAATCAATTTATATAAAGTTTTTTTAATAGGATTTCTTTGGTGATGAATGTATCATAATTTAAATGTAAAAATTTTTTTTGAATAAATTAATGTTTTACACCCAAATTTCTAATCTATTATTAATAGAGTAAATTTGCATTGCAATCATGAAATCATCATTATCAGAAATGGTGATAAAGTCACCATCATCATCTTTATATTTTAATTTTTTTACTTCAGTTAATTTGAAAGATTTTTGAATATATTTTCTAAGATCTTCAAAAATCACAGAAGGTGGAAAACCCAAATCATGAATTTCCTTATTAACATGACAAGTAAAGAAATATTTTTTTTCCTATTATTATAAAAATAATGATAAATTTTTTTTAAAGAATTTAGTTTAATAGTAATAATAATAATAATAATAATAATAATAATAATAATAATAATAACAACAATTAAACCCCCATTACTTTAATTCTTTTGGGTTCTTTTTTACATTTGATAGAAGCAGCAGTCATTTCTTGATATTCACTAATATTAGATTCAACATCAGGCGTTCTTGATGAGATAACATAATTAATATGAAGACCAACCATGTCAATTACTTCATCTGGTGTCTTTTCATCAATAATCATCCAAATCTCTTTTGTGGGGCAGGCTTGAAATTATGATCGTAATATTATTATTGATATGATAATAAAAAAAGTGCGTATTTATAAATTATATGAAATTGATAACCAACCACTTTTCGTATATAAAGGATTTTCAACAAAGGAATAAGGATCGGTTAAAACCTAATTATAAACATCCACGTGTGTGAATATAAAATACCAAAAATATTATATAAAAATATTTATATACAAACATTAGAAGGATCGTCTTTCACCATAATAAGCAGAGTATTTGAAGTGATTTTAGAAAATTCAAATAAATCATCGAGTTTAATAACTAAACTCGGATAATTTTCATTAAAAAAAATTGTTATAGTCTCCTCCAAATATTTATATATAAAACATAAATTATTTTCTTCTTCTACATCTTCATAATAACTTCCAACTTTTATACTTGTTAATTTAAATTCTATATGTGGCAATTGAAGATCTCTCATAGGATCACTTGGATAAAAATCAGTTGATGACCTTTTGTTTGAATTTTGGTAATTTTTTTTCCTGTAATTATTATTATTTCGTGAATAACTTTTGGTATAATTTCTTCGATTAATATAAAAATTATCATTATCATTATTATTATTATTACGATCATTATTAGTTGTAACCTAGAAATTTATTTATTAATAATTTAAATACAAGAAAGACGCCAAGCAAAGAGAAGGAGGAGGAAATAAAGTAACTAACTACCCATGCAATTTCTTCATCCATTTTTATTTTTTATTTTATTATTTTTGTGTTTTGTTGTTATCAATTTATTACTTATCAAGAACGTTAAAAGTGAAAAAATTCTCGCCTCACTATATATATATATATTAATATGTAAATTGTTCGCCCAAAAGTGTAACGTTACAAAGCTATTGCTTTAATTTTTTTAATTGTTATTAATTAGCCAATAAAATTTTATTTATTTATAATAATAATAATACAATAAATGAAATAATAATTAATAATAATTTAATTGATCATCATCATAAACTTCATTTTGAATTTTTTTTATTCACACAATTAAATTTTTTTTTTTAATATCTAAAAATAATGTAAATAGCATGAATAATACCTAAAAGAATTATTAGAGAAATAATCAGTAAAAAAATTCAATGAATTAATTATAATTAACCAAATGTTATCAAACTTGAAAAATAATAAATACCAGGAATATAACCGAGGAGAGTTAAAAGAATATTTATACATAAATCCTGACCACATCCACGTTCTAACAAAACACCCAAAGGTGGCAAGAAGATTGCAAAGATGATTTTAAAAATGTCTGAGAATGTTAAAGCCATTTTTTATTTGATTTTTTTTTTGTGTGAATAATAGATAATAAATCGTTATATTTTTTTTTTTATGAAAAAATAAAATTTCAAATTCTTGTAAGGAAGAGAGATGTCTTATATATCAATTTTTATTTTTGAATGGCGTCATAATGTCTTATCTGTGACATAATATAATCTACTAGATTGTATGATTCCAAGGGTTCAGCCCCATATTAACACTTTTTCCTGTTTATTCGGGTTGTAATTTTAAATCTAAAAAAAGATTCTCCGCATAAGGCGAAAAACCGAGATGTATTGTTTCTAAAATCAAAACAATGACATGCAGTTGAATTCATTCTATTTACGTAACAGCAATGAAATATAATATCAAATGTTAAATTTAAAGCTTGATTTAATTATCATCTCGAGTTGGAGGAGGGAAGCCTTTCGTCATGCTAACTTTACAATTGAATTATTACAAATAAATTATTCAAAATATAAAATACCTAAAATTATTTGAAAAGCTTGGAACCCTTTCGTCATTTAATTACTTTTATGGTAAAGTAATCCAATTAATTCAACTAAAAAGTTTGTCTTAACAATTCTTGGCATAAAAAACAACATGAATTATAAATCATCTCAAATAAATCGAATTCGAACTGGGATTTAGTGTGACAACTATTTAACAATAAGAAAATAGATTAGACCGACTGTTATTATTACTATATAAATATCATACAACATTAATTAAAGCAACAATTGGAAAGATCAACATTTATAAAAAATGGGGTGAGTTTTTATATTAGTGATCAACATAAACAAATCCACGGCTAATGAGTGATTGTATTCATGAGATTAATTCTAATTGAAGTGGTAAGTTCTTAAGCAGGTAAAATTGGGGAAACTTTTGCTCAAGTCATATGAAAATCATGGGTAAGGGATCACATATGTGGTGCGACTATTTGTAGCAAAAAATCATAATAAGCATATTAATATGAGAATTCCGAACAAAGTTTTTAAAAATTGTATGACATTACGAGTAAAGAATTTGGAGTCACCACAACGAAACTGGCCAATTAAAAGGAATTTTGCACCAAACACACCCTGTATTTGTTTGCTTGGCTAATTTCAAATCAATAAATCAATAAATCAATAAAAAAATAAAAAAATAAAAAATAAAAAATAGTCTTTTGGATATTAATTATTATTATATGGGGCATGCTGCAACAAAACCAGACAAAGTGAACATTGGTATTTGCCAGAATTACAGGGATCAAAATTTAGTCATTTGTAATGTGATTATAATTATCAGTTTTATAATGTCCCATTTGTTAGTTTCTTAAGTGATATATAGAATTACCCCTATATAAAAATAGTTAATATGAAACTCATTTACATCCGATCTACTATGGAACCCAAGAATTATAGCACTATCAGAAGTATTTTGAAGACTATTACTATGTACTAGAGTTGAATCTGATTCCAATCCAGTTTCAATCTAGTTTGTTGTTTAGAATCCGAATTCAAACCAGATTGACAAAAATAAATAAGATCCAAACTCTACTCCCATCATTCCAAGCACTTTTTATAGACATCTGGTTGAGCTCTCTTATCTTTTGTGGTAGTAGTTGTACATTTAATTGCCTTGTTAAGATAGTATGCTATAACACTACCACTTGCAAAATCCCATGTAATTTCAATCATATACATAACGTGAACATTAATAAGATTCAAAGTGTGTATCTCCCCTGCAGAGGGTTTGCTCATAACATCAGAAAAACAAAAGTACATAATCTAGAAGCATAAAACGACCTTGAAGTTGGATGTTCAAGCTTTTCAGGGAAGGCTTTAGTATCAAGGAGAGATGAAGATTTAAGTGGTGATTACATAGAGATATTTCTTTCAGGACAAAGAACTAAATCTGTATTTACCCTGTCAACTTTCAAGCAATCAAGTTCAAACTTGATAAGTCCCAGCAAGCCCCAAGAAAGAGCCCTGCTCATTGTAGTGTAGATCTGGCCTACTACAAACATACTTTTCATCAACCAATGTGTCTTGTGAACAGTCAAAGAAAAGGCATTCCGTAATGTGAATTGACACCTCAAAGTATATACCCATTAATTTCAACATTTATTTTAGGTGATGTTTCCATTTGTTGAAATGTGACTTCCACATTATCACCATCACTTTGGTGATCACACCTATCATTCCATTGCAGGTATTGTGTACAAACAACTTACTTATTGTTCAAAAACATCACCTTTCACTCTCTTGGATAATGGTTGGTTTGGGTAATGTCCAAAAGGTAAGCTGTCATGACTCACCATCTACCACTTCAGAGTAACTGCCAATGAAACAATAGGATCAAAACATTGGTCATCAAATGGCAGACTTTGACAAATGAGTGTGTTTTATTTGCTCTAATATTTTACAAAGCTCAACACATGAGTAGAATTTATTATAGTGATGACTCTTGAATTTTGTGTATTTCTTATCTTTTTACTATTCATGTATTCATTTTTTTTAGATAGATGTACTCTTCAAGCAGTTGGTAAATTCCAAGTCATCTTGTTGTTTGTGGATTTTTGGGGGGTGAAAATAAATGAATCATTTTATATGTACACAAACTAGGGATTTATTGTTAATAAGACAAGAAATTTTGAATGTGAAATCAAAGGTTGATTTTATTATTATTAATTTTTTAAGCAATTTAATTTTATTTTATTAACAAATATAATAAATCATGATAATTGTTACTAATAATAATATGAGATGTTTTTGATTTTTGTTTAAAAATGATTACCACCAATATGATGCACAAGTTTCATATCTTCTAGCTGTATAGTGACTCGTTTAGCTATAAAAATTAACAATTAATTAATTAATTAATTTGGTAATACGTTTATATATAAACCATTTAATTATTTACCATGAATGGCAGCCAAATTTGTATCCACAAATAAAGAAACTAAATATGCTTCTGCACCCTGATATAGATCATACAATCGTTATCATTATCATTAAAATAACACATATATGTAAGTAAATATATAACAAAAAAAACTCACTTCTTGTAAAGAGCTAATCGCACTTGGCTGTAAACGTATATCAGTTCTAATGTCTTGAGTAATTTGTTTTACCAATTGTTGAAATGATAAGCTTGGAATTAAATTATTACTGGAACGACATTTATTTCTTTTATGTGCTGCTTTGTTTTATTATTAATCAAAAGAGAGAAATGTAAGTTTTAAAAGGATAAAGGCCTCAGCTTATTATTGTAATCTTGAATTATTCAAACCTATATAATTATTATCTTCATTTTCATCTTCAATATTTGTTTCTTCTTCTTCATGATTTATTTCCTCTGTATTTATTTCTTCTTCTTCATGATTTATTTCCTCTGTATTTATTTCTTCTTCATGATTTATTTCCTCAATATTTATTTTGGTTTCTTCAAGATTTATTTCCTCAATATTTATTTCGGTTTCTTCTTCAAGATTTATTTCCTCAATATTTATTTCGGTTTCTTCTTCAAGATTTTTATATATTAAGATCAAATCAATTATAAGATAACGATGTCAATAATGATTATTTTATGATTGACTTTCATAAATTATTGATTTAACTTATTTGATCAGGTTACTTACCCAATTCGAAATTGTTTGAAATCCATTTTGATAATTCTTTTATCGAATTATCTAAATTGTTTATAATGGATTCGCTAATATTATTTGCATTTAAATCTTCAACACCATGTAGGGTTGCTACGCTTCGGATAGTACCATTCCTGACATTTATTATTTCTTGTTTCTGAATATCGTTGATTAAATTCCTTTCTTGAATCCTTTTTAAAGGTCGATAAGACATGGTTTAATAATTTAATTTCTTTTTTTTAAAAGAACTAGAGTAACGACGAGTGGCGGGCGATAACCACCACCACCATCCTTAAAACACTTACCCACGATCATCGGCAACTCCCTTTCCTTGTTTTGTTGTGACATTTTTTTTTTGAATAAAAGGTTTGTTTTGATCGATCGACGTGTATACACTAATTATTTATGCGATGCGATTGGTTTTTTTTTGGTAGGACAGACACGAATTGGTTTTTTTTTTTTTTTTTTGGAAAAACAATTTATTTTTTGGCAGAGTCCAAGGTGACAAAACGTGAGTGTTGTGGATTGGTTTGGTTTGGTTCTCCTAAAGAAGAAGTGTTAATAACTAACCAGAGGTACTTTATTTTAATTTGTATTGATAGATATTTTTATTTTTAATTGGGAATCAAAACGCGGAGCAGATCTTGCTTGGGTAATTACAAGATTTTCATTGATAATATTTTGCTTTTCGCAATCAATAATAATAACATTAATATTAATATATAATCACAAGATGTCAAGGCAGCACCTTGTTGAAGAGGAAACATTTTGAGTATGCAATGTTTGATTATCGGAAATTAGCAGGCATTAAAGCACACAAATACAGTCATTCTTACACATTCCTCATGTACAAAAGGCTAATCTGACTCGCGCCCCCCGATGATACAATTATGCAACTGAATTCCAGGGGGGTGGTAGCATGGCCCTGGAGTTTACCAAGACTGCATCATCGTCAAGGACGTTTTCACTAATCTTCCCAGACCAGAGATGGCTGCTGGCATGCTGGCCGAAAAGTTGCCTACAACAATCCTATCTCTAGGCAAGCAACCAAGTTGCAACTCTTGAGGAATATCAAGAGAATCTGCAACTTGTTTCAAGCACAGGAGGTTGCAATTCAGAATGGGGTTGGTGGCCCTGAAATTGCATTTGGGCTCTGATGTTAGAAGGAAAGTTGTAAAATAATGTTTGTTTTATATAATCATTTTCATATTTCTGTTTTTCTTTAATTTGTTGTTTAAATGTGGGTAGGATCGTTGGTGAGTAGGCATGCCACTGACCAGACAGCAACTTAGGACTCAAAACTCTGAATCCAAAACAGCAACCCTTCCAAGTTGGAAAATTTGAATCAGGTGCTAACTTTTATTCTAGAGGGTATAACACAAAGCAATCATCACACAAGTGCTGATTCTCATCAGCAATCAATGCCCATATGGTAACAGCACAGCCTGGTTTGAGGGAAGATAAGAAAAGTTTTGTCCAAAGGCTTCCAACATGTTTGGATTACCTCACCTGTGGAGGAAATTCTACAGTCATGAGGAGGTGTGAGAACACCTTATTCCATGTTGGTGACAGGAAATTTTTTAATTAAATCTGACACCTGCAATCAACATCAGATTTATTATTCATAATTGATAAACAGGAAAAGTATTTTATTATTATGAACCCCAGAGATCTGGGTAGACAAGCATTATTAAAGCTTTGTTTATGCATGGCCTTGGTATCATTACTACCTGGGTGATGCAATTGTTTGTTATGTCAATTATAACATCAAATGTATCAAATAATAATCATGACCATCATGAATATTTGATGGATGGAGGCATTCACATACAAAGAAATGATTAAATAGCTAAGTCTTGTTTATTTTTTATCTATATAATTAAAAAATTATTATTTATTTCAATGCCATTAATTTCAATAATTCTGAAATTGTTTGTTTCTCAGTGTTAATGATTGAATCAATCACACAAGTGATAGTCAGTTTTTTTTAAAAAAGGTTTGGTTGAATTAATGTCATTAAATGTTTTTTTTGATACATCAAACTCAGTCCAAAATCTATCATATTTTTATATTTTGAAATTTCTTTTTTGATTAAAAAAAAAAAATTTTCAAACATTTGTTTATTTTTTTTTAGTACATTTCAATTAGACTTTATTAGGTCAAATGATACATTCAGCAAAAATCTCAGAAGACTACATTGTGCATTAATTTTAAGATAAAAAAATCTGTTTTAATGTTTTAGTATAATCAACAATTTTCTTCAATTGTTTTTTTAGAAATAACAATAA